ACAAAAATGAATGTCTCGGATCATCTTTGGATCTCTCTTCAGCGCGACGCATTCACTTTTATTTTAATATAATTATGTATAACATGAAATATTATGTATAATTACATTATATTGTATATTTTTAATCTGGTATAACGTATGTTATGGATTGCTTGTAATTATTTTAATATATTTTGCCAACATATTTTACTTTTAAAGCATAATAATATTCTAAATTTTTTAAATTCTTTTTAATTCTTCTCTTTTCTCTTTTTATTTCTTTTAAAATTTGTAGATAAAATCATATTGATCAAATTGATTATATATTACAAAATAATACAAAAGAATACAATATATAAAATAATACAAAAATTAAAAATGTTAAATATAGTTTTATGTTTAATTAATTTTTTTTAATGTGTTAAATAAATATCTTTTTTCACTATTATTCATTTCTAAACGCCAGCAACTACTATTCGCAGTTTTACGTCGAACGCAAAGGAAAATAAATACATAAGAATAAATAAGAAAATATTAAATTTAAGTTACATGTTTATACATTACAGTTTTTACATGCCGTATATAATTATGCTGTATAGAAAATTCCGCGCGTAAGATGGATTTTAAACATAAATATTTAAATTTTAAACTAGAGACTTTTAAAAAATTGATGAGGCTCTATATTTATTCTTGAATGTAAAATTTTTTTTCTCAATGTTACAATTTATAAGTTGTCGGATATTTTCTTATACTAAGTTTAATATATAATATATAATGCAGATATGTATTTTTTAATTCTTTTTAAATAAATCGAAGATTTTGTAAAAATTATGAATTTAAATTTTTCATCTTTATAATATTAAAATGAGAATTTTTCACTTTTGCATGTAAAGATGTTGCTTGACATTTTCTTAAAAGAAAAATTAATATCACATTATAAATAAAGAAGTACAATTTGTAAATGCGGTTATGCAGATGAATCTAGTGAAAATTAATAAATTTTTTACGCGTCATATTTAAACATTTATATGGATCGAAATTTATAATTTTCTCACAGTTTATTTTTGCGCGCGCGCGAGTCAAAAGAACTATTACAAAAATCTATATTAATAGAAATAAAACCCCCTATTTTTCATTACATATGCCTGTAGGTCACCTCGAAAGCTTTCCAAAACATTATAATTAAGAATGTATTGGAGATATATTATAATCAATGAGATCGCCGTGAATTTTTAATTTAACATTCTTAATAACATTCTAAATCATCATGAATTATTTCAAATTTTTTTTACTTGCTCCTTTAAAAGTTATTAATTTTTGAATTTTGCGATTTTAACGTAGGATCTTATGTAAACGTTCAAGAGACGGGTATTAATAAATTATTCACAAACTATAAAAAAAACAATAACAAAAATTTCATTTTGTAATATTATGTTCTTCATACATGTAAAAATGTTCCCACAAAGTTTTAAAACGATTTACTTGCTAGTTTTGAAATTATTATTAAAAAATAACTGTGATTATCGGTTTGACGCAATATTGATGATAAAACGTGGCAACACTGCATAATCTTATTTGTCAAACGATACGCACGAAGTTTGACATACTCTGAAGTTTGAAACTACGGACATTTGAACTTTTTTTTAATGGTAGAGTAATATTGAGAAAAATTAAAAAACAAATCAAATTTATACATATATAAATATATTTATAAATATTATCGTATATTTAATATTATTGTATATTATCATATATTTAGAGCAGTTTTTAAATTATCTTATAAATAACAACAAAATTACTTTATTTTTTGGTGTCAGTGAAATAATTGATAACATTTTGTATAGAACGAGCTTGTAATTTTTCCATTTTTTTGGTTTCTATTTTTTGCTTCAATAGAGCACGAATATCAGAAACACTATCTTTTTTATAAACGTTCATCAAGATTTCCATAGTAAGTGTTAATGTTTGCAAAAGTTCTTGGATCTTAACAAGAGCTGTCCACTGTTCAATTTTTGTGTTAAAAGATATTGCATTTTCTAGAATCATACTTTATGTAATTTTCGATTTACAAAGGATTTTTAGCAGACTCATTGGAATAATGATGCAAATATAAATGTGAATGTAAAACTCATATTTTTCATCTTTTTATGCTCTTTCCTGATAATTTACTATTTTTTTCCTCACAATTGCAATCAATCAATCATGATGATTCAACTATTAATCTTTATGTTGACTGAAATATGTATATGAAGGCAATCAATTCTGTCGATTTAATAAAAACTATCATTAAATCAAGATATTTTTGACCTTTAAATCGAATTCTCATCGTGCTTCATCATTTTTCTATCAAATAATAGTCTATAATATACAGGGTCTACCAAAAGTGTGGAAACCCCTAAATATCTCGGAAAATATACGTTTTACAGAAAAGTGTTTCCAACAAAAGTTGTAGGGTTTAAGAAGATCTATATACTGATTCTATCAGTTTGACCTTGGATGGCGTCGTCAAGGTCAGGTCAAGGTCACATTGACTTTTTTAAATGACACCCCCTACATTTGATTGCATATTCTTATAGCTTAATTCAAGAGCTTTCCAAAACACTATAATAATGTTCATTTTTATTAAGTACTTTGCGAGTTATGAGGGTTGAAATAATTTCTTAATTTTACATAAACCATAAAATATCTAGTAAATCATTCATTTTTCGATTATCTTACCTTCATACTTTTATGTACAAATTAATGAGAGGAATCAATTGGTGTAAAGAAAACACATAGTTGTTTCTAAGAAAAAATATGTAATTTGCAATTAACAATTCCATATTTTTTCTTAAAAACAACTGTATGTTTTCTTTACACCAATTGATTCCTTTCATTATTTTGTACATAAAAGTATGAAGGTAAGATAATCGAAAAATGAATGGTTTACTAGATATTTTATGGTTTATGTAAAATTAAGAAATTATTTCAACCCTCATAACTCGCAAAGTACTTAATAAAAATGAACATTATTATAGTGTTTTGGAAAGCTCTTGAATTAAGCTATAAGAATATGCAATCAAATGTAGGGGGTGTCATTTAAAAAAGTCAATGTGACCTTGACCTGACCTTGACGACGCCATCCAAGGTCAAACTGATAGAATCAGTATATAGATCTTCTTAAACCCTACAACTTTTGTTGGAAACACTTTTCTGTAAAACGTATATTTTCCGAGATATTTAGGGGTTTCCACACTTTTGGTAGACCCTGTATATGAAAGAAAATCTTATGTATATGTATAAATTTCTTATGAGTATAATTATCTTATGAGTATATGTATAAATTTTTTTTCGTAATTTTTAAAGATATGAGATAGTAGTCAAAATAATTATTCAGCATATTTAATTATGAAAAAATTATATATATAGGGTGTTCTAAAAAGTTATGTCAAAAATTTAAAGAGATATTCTTCACCCCTGAAAGATATGATTTAATGGAATCTTGAGTATGTTACAATAAATATTGGAAATGTTCATCATTTTCCTGAATACAAGCGGTGACACGTCGACGCATCGATTCACGTTCAAAAATGCTCTTAAAATAAAACCAAATGTAAATAAGCCTAATTAAATGATTGTCGTCATCTACAATAATTAATCCTAAATTTTTTCTTGTGTAAGTAATACAGCTAATAGTATTTTCAACATAACTCCTGAATTTCCACACTCATTTCCACACCTATATCCATATAACATTTCTTCATCCTTCAGGTATGAGGAATATCTCTTTAAATTTTTGACATACTTTTTTAGAACACCTTGTATAGCAGAATGTTTGTTAAAGTAACAGCAAATGAATCATCCGCATGTATTGATAGTGCGTCAAAAAAAATTATCAACGTAGTAAAAAATTATCAACGTAGTAATTAATACGAAAGTTTGTTTTTTTAGCAATTAATATTTATTGTAAGTTTGTGAAGTAAATAGTAAGAGATATTTCTTAAACACTTTTATTTATCTTCTTACTTATCCTTCATATATTGTTTTAATAATTCGTATTAATTTAATAAAATAAGGTTATTATCTTCTTTTTCGTTCTTACAAAGTTTGTCAAAGAATGAATTATATTATTTTATATAAATTATTGAATATATGTATATATAATAGATATATGTTAATATATCGTGTGTCTATGTGTATGTGTGTAAACTACAAAGTAAACTACTATAAAGTAAAGTAAATTATATTTTTCCTTTATTCAAGCATAATTCATAAATACAATTAATGCAATCTACTTATAATCATTATTTAAATTATTAAAATTATTGCTTAGTTAATAGAAAATGAGCAAAAATGGGCGAATTCTCTAATAATAAAAATAATTCACTTAGTAATAAGTGACTAAAAGTGTGGAATATGCACTAATCTAGATTAAATTTTATTTACTAAATCTTTGGAATTGGCTCAGTGTTAAAATGTGTGACAATATATATTTTTTAAACAATTTATTTTTCACGAGAAAAATTTTTCTCCTTGTGTATCATTGATATTATTGAAATATCGATATTTAAAAAAATTGATTTTAAACGACAGTTAAATTGATCATTTAAATATTTTAAATCTCAAATCCAACTTTCCGAGATGATTGCATAATCATTTCTGAGATAAATACCATCTAGACCTACTTAGACTTGCAAATCACATTATTAATAAGATATCGTTCTTGAAAAATGAAAATATATTCCGATTATCTTAACATACGACGGTTATATTACGACGGAGTCTGAAAGAATCGGTCTAACTGAGCGGACGTAACTTTATTCGTAACTCATTTTACGAATATTCCGAGTTCTCGTGTGAATTTTGGTGGTTTATTCTCTTGTTCCTTTTAATTCGTGTCATATTATTTACGAGTGTGTGAGTGCCGCGTGTATAGCATGTGCCGATCAGTTCTGTAGCGCGTATTTGATACATATTTCCAGATCTATGGAAGCAACAATATTTGCTCTTGAATTATATAAATATACGTATAAACCTTACATTTACATTGTTAATTTGTAGAAATTTATCTTACTGATATATATAGCTTTCTGTAGTTATTAATAAAAAATAAATTAACGCGTTTATTCCATTTAACATATTTGGGATATCAAGATAATTATCTTAGTTTTAAGTAAAGCAAATATAATTTATTTAGTGACCAACGATCTGAGAACCAGAGTATTGAGAAGCTGAAGAAAACTGAGTTGAATAGACGGCTAATCTTAATTTAATACACATCGAGGAATAATGTTTATTATTATATTACTAGTATTCATTCTTACTTTATTGTCATATAATTATTACGTGCATCATAGAAGAAATGGACGACTCATTAATTTGATACCAGGACCACCGAGTTTTCTGATTGTTGGCAATATATTCGAATTTATTGTTTCACCAAGTAAGTAAAAATTTTTAATTTTATTTGCATTAAATGATATACAATACATCATTTATATATACAAGCAAAAATTTAATTTGTAAATTCTTTGAATTCTTTGAAATATATGCCTATCAACATTATTGGTTGTTTTTAAAATAATTATTCAATATTATCAGTATTTTTCTTCACAATAATATTCTTTTAATATTTTCTTAATTATCATTAATTTGTTTGTAATGTATTTGATATAATAACACAGATTAACATTCAAAAATACTGATAAAATCAAAAATTCTAATGATAATCTCTACTGATAATCTCAAAAATTTTTGTACTTATATTTATAATGTACTTATTCAGAGAAACAATGGAAGGTGCTGCATTCTATGCTTAACGAATATTATCCCATTACAAAAACCTGGACTTTCTTTTTACCTTTCGTATCTATTCGCCATCCAGATGATCTAGAGGTAATAAATTACAAAATTTAATTTTTTTATTATTAAATTATGATTTAGCTAGATTTAGAAATCTTACGTTACATATAAAAATATATTCGCACGTAAAAAAATGTATTTTAACAAAGAAAAAGAAGAAATCAAAGATATATTAATTTGAGACTTTTGTTAGAGATTATTTGTGTATATGTCAGAGATTAAAGTGAAATGATCTGAGATTGAATGCTATAATAAACTGATGTTTCATATTTAATATCTATTATCATTTTTAACCTATTGTAATTATAGACGATAATGAGCAGTACCAAGCACATCGAGAAAAGTGCTATGTATAGTCTATTACATCCTTGGTTTAGTACAGGTCTTCTTACTAGCACAGGTAATGTCATTACATCACACATATGTATAAACGAATATATATTTTATTATTACAGTTTGATATTATCTATTTTAATCGCGCAGAGAATGAAGTGAAATTCAGCGATATGAAATGGAAATAAATTTGAAATAATAAATTTGAGTAATTAGTATTACCCAAAGATTTGATATCAAATTGAGAAAAACAAGAATATATTATTTATATTATTATAATTATTATTTATATTTATATATCAATTAGATATTATCTTGTTTTTTCTTTCAGGCGCGAAATGGCAATTGCGGCGAAAGATATTAACACCTACATTCCATTTCAATATATTGAACCAGTTTGTTGACATCTTGAGTAAGGAAAGCGCTCACATGATAAAGTCTTTAAAGGATGAAGAAGGAGCAATTGTGAAAGATTTAATACCATTTATTAGTGAACATACCCTGAATATAATATGTGGTAAAGTTCCTGCATTCTGTAAAGTTCTTATTGTTCTCTGTTTGTAATTATGTACGAGCGTTTTGTTTTAAATAATCAGCTTAAGAAAAGAAGACGAAAACATAAAATATCAATAGTGAGGGGAAGATCGATAATATTAATATTAATGAAAAAATTAATTCGATTTTTATTCTACAGTATTTATATTTTTCGGCTGTGATTTCGGCTCTTTATAACAAATTCATTTATAGAAACTGCCATGGGCATCTCTCTGCATGATTTCGGAGCATTTCAACAACAGTATCGAGAAGCAGTTCATCAAATGAGTGAATTGTTTGTTTATAGGTAATTTACATAATCAGATAAGAAAAATACAGTGAATGATTATTATATATCTACAATTCTTTAAATTGTGATATATAGTTATATTTTGTAAGAGGTAGATTAATTATTGAATTGCAAAAATTGATAATGAAATAAATCATTTAATTAGCAACATTAAAACATATTACATACACTCAATTAAACGTCTTATTTTGAAATAAAAAATATTTGCAGTTTTTATATTGTTGAGAATATCAATAATATTATTATATTAAAATATTAAAATTAATAAATTGTGCAACAAGATCTAAAGATCTTTGATTAAAGAATCTATAAACAAAACTAATAAAATGTCTTAGAAAAGTTTATTCTTAGAAATTTTCAAAATTAATAGAAGGAAAATACGTTCTTGATATACATATACATATATAGTTACAAATTTTGCAATATTTACATATTCATATATGTATATATTTTCGTTATATATAATTACTTAAAATTTACTTCATAATTTAACGGAGGCTTAAAATAAGACCTTTATAAAATTATATAAATTACATAATCTTATTTTATTACGATTTAGATTAGTGAGGCCTTGGCTGTATATTAATCTATTATTCGCATTGTCTCCACAAGGAAGGAGACAAAAGAAGATCCTGAAGATATTACATGGATTTACGGAAAAAGTGCATCACAAATCATTTTACTTAAAATTTTCTGTATTCTCTTCTTTTATGTGAACGTAATAGATATTAGATATAATAGATATAGATATAATAGATTTTATAATCTTCATACAGCAAAATATTATACTGTTATATTATAAATATTAATAACATAAACATATATTAATAGTATAATATATTATTTAATACAATTTATTAACAAATATTGAAAAAAGCTCTCTTCAATTTAATAATAAAATGGAAGAACATAGGCAATAGAGAGCATGTAAATAAATAAATTATTAAAGATCAAGTACAAGTAATAATAATTTAATAAAGTAAACTATAATTGATATAAACATGTTAAATACGATATAAATAGTTAAAAATAATAATAAAAATGTACGGTACAATTTATTAAAAAATGTAATATCATTGTCATTTATTCTATTTATCTAGATCATCGCAGAAAGGAAACTTTACCACGAACGCACTAATGATCGATATTTGAAAAATTTTGAAAAAGAGGAGACTGATGATGCAGAAGTATTTGGAAGTATGTAAGATAAGAGATTTTATTTTAAATTTCATCGCGTATTACAATGTTATAAATCGTACTTTTATTTATATTAAACACATATCATATATAATCACACGTAATAGTGCAATATATATCTGCCGTAAAATTGTTCGTTATTTATAAGTTTGAATTTTAAACGAGAACGATGAAATTTAGTTAAAATGCAATATGCAGAAATGAAAATGACGCTAACATATTCATGCTTTTTAGTCAGCAAAAAACGACTAGCCATGTTGGATCTCTTAATAGCTGCATCTCGAGAAGGATCTTTAACTGATTTGGATATTCGAGAGGAAGTTGATACTTTTATGTTTGAAGTATGTTTTTGTAATTTTCCTTTTTTTATAATTTTCTGTTTTTACATAGATTATTTAAACATGTATAATGTGACGTAATTACAGGGTCACGATACTACAGCGATGGGTATAACGTTTGCATTGTTATTATTAGCTGAACACAAAGATATCCAGGTACCTTTTTGTCTATAAACATCATTTATATTATAATTTTTATTCAAATTACTATAGACATATAACTTTTGTTACTCTATATTGTTTCTATATGTATATTATAATTATTGACAAATTATATATTTATTATATAATTATAATTATATATTATATAATTATAATTATTAATAATAGTTAATTTAAGTAATAATTTAAATTAATTTAAATAATAAATTTTAATAAAGTCTTTATATTTATTTTAAAGAGATTTTAATTTTTTCAAAATGTATACGAATATATATGTATGTATATACATATGTATATACATGTATATACATGTATATACATGTATATACATATGTATTTTGAAAAAAATTAAAATATCTTTGAATATCTTGAAATAAATATAAAGACTTTATTGAAATTTATTAATAATTTATGTCTACTTAGATCATAATATTATAATTATTCTAATTATTATCGTTAATGTAGGAACGTGTGAGGATTGAAGCCAATACCGTGATACAAGAGAACGAAGGAAAACTTACTATGAAATCATTGCAAAATTTACCATATTTAGACAGATGTTTAAAGGAAGCGCTACGTTTATATCCCAGCGTATATTTTATATCACGATATGCTGCGGAAGATGTAAAACTTCGTGAGTAATTTATTACTTTTTTGCTGCATGTATCTTCGTTGTCACATAACATATTATCGAAAACATACACAGTATTACTGATTTAAATCTAAAATATAATATCAAAATTTAATTATGAAATGTTCTGTTAAAAAAATGATGGTCTCTAAACTAGAGATAAATTAAACTTCATTCTAATTTTCGTGCGATGTTAAAACATTATGTTCCTCACCATCCCTCGCAATAGGCTACAGTCTGTTTTTTTTTATTTACAATCCTGTTTATTTCTTCGCAAAACCGTTGGCCATCAAGCTCACGCTCAAATATCTAGAGATACATTGTAATATTGTACCTAGTGATGAGAGAATTAATGATATTCTGTAATTTCTTCAACCATTCAAGGAACTAACAATTATTTGACATGAAATGAATTGAGTTTTACAGTCTAAATACAAACCTATCAATGATCTCCAAGCTTCAAGAATAGAAACATTATTCATTCCAATAATTCTGTTCTTCATCAATGTCTTCTAAACGAAACGTTTGTAAGCGTATTTCCTGAAGAAAATGTTTTTTGTTTAAGAACTCCTAGAATTATATTTCAAGTTTTGCCATTTAACCCAGCATCCTGCATACATATTTCATTTCTTTAACATTGTAAGATATATCTGTTATGTACATTTTATTTTCCAAAAGAATTCTTATTTTTGTATAAATTATATTTAATTTTATATTTTTAAATTTTATATATTAATTTTATATATTAAATAATAAATTATATATTATAAATATATAGATATATAATAATATATAAATATAATATAAATATAATATATAATAATAATATATAATAATATAAATATAATATATAAATATATAAATATATAAATATATAAATATATAAATATATAAATTTATAATATATAAATATATTATAAATTTATATATTAAATAATAATTAATTTTATATATTAAATAATAATTAATTTTATATATTAAATAATAAATAATTTTATATATTAAATTTTATATATTAATTTTATATTTTTAAATTTTATATATTTTCTTCAGAGTCATATGTAATACCTGCCAGGACGGGTATACATCTTAATATCTATGGAGTTCATAGAGACCCTAATTTCTGGCCAAATCCGGAAGTGTTCGATCCTGACAGATTTTTGCCCGACAGAATTCAGAATCGTCATCCTTTTTGCTATCTACCGTTCAGCGCAGGACCGCGGAATTGTATAGGTAAATTACTCACGATTTTTGTTTTTTTTATCATATCGATAGCTTCCGATATATTTTCGATATATAATATATTTAATTATATTTCCAATTGCAGGTCAACGATTCGGTCTGCTGGAAATGAAAGCTATGATAGCTCCACTTGTACATAATTTTTATTTGGAGCCTATTGATTATTTAAAAGACATCCAAATGAAAGCCGATATGATACTTCGTCCTTCTCATTCGGTTCATATAAAACTCGTTCCAATCAACTAACGATTGTTTAAAACAAACACGGTTATTACTAAAATGTAAAAAATTCATATCTTGTAAAAAATGGAAGAAAATATTATTGAGTATAAATATTATATTTATTATATCGTAAAAATATACACAGGATATCTTGCAAGTCCGAGTAACAAATTCTTATATTATAAAAAAATCTTACACAATTAAATGAATTTGTTGAAATTCAACAAATTCATTTAATTGTGTAAGATTTTCTCTATCGTTATTTATAATCGCGCTAAAAATGAAAATAAAAATATATACATATACACAAATGGTAGAAAGAAAATAATGTGAACACCTGAAATAAAACGAGAATTTTTTTCATTTTTACATGTAAAGATGTTGCTTGACGTTTTCTTAAAAGAAAAATTAATATCACATTATAAATAAAGAATTACAATTTGTAAATGCGGTTATGCAGGTAAATCTAGTGAAAATTAATAATTTCTTTACGCGTCATATTTAAACATTTATATGGACCAAAATTTTTAATTTCTCACGATTTATTTTCACGCGCGCGCGCGCGAGTCAAAAGAAATATTACAAAAGTCTATATTAGAAATAAAACATAAATATATTAATATCTGATTTTTTCAAAATTATAACTTGTATAAATATATTTGATTACGAACGAAGAAAAAGAAACACAAAAGAGATAAAAAAAACAGAAAATTATTTTTGGATATCTTATTATAATTTGAATCCGGCATCAACTCTTGACATTTACTTTAACACCGTTCGTAATTAAGACGATAAATTGTATAAAAAATATTTGTAATATAAATATAATCTCTATTTTGACAATTTATGTTACATTCGATACATGTGATTTAGAAATCGATTTTCGTATTCATATTTATTTTCAGTCATATTCATACTTCTCTAAGAAACTCATCTCTGTAAGCTAATATCATCAAAAAATGATAAAGACAAATGTTTTAAAGAAATATATCTTACAACGTATTTATAATATAAGGTAATAGTCAAAACATTTATGCAGCATATTTAATCACAAACAAATTATGTACATAGTAGCATGTTCATTTAAATAATAGAAGATGAATCAGTCGTATGTATAATGTATGTATGTTCTATTTGAATGACAATCCATCAAAAAAAATTTATCGATTACTTATAGAGATAAAACTATCTTAATGTGCACATAATGTTTATAATTTTACACAATACCAGTATAAAATTATTGCATTGCTAAAATCAATAGTTCAATGTATAGAATGTATACCATAAAAGAGTTTAATATGAGAGTTTGTTCTTTTAATAGTTAATATTCATTTAGTAGTTAATATTCATCGTAAGATCATTATGAAATAAATAGTGAGTATCTTAAACACTTTTATTATTATTTATCCTTTAATAAAATATTTGGAATTGGCGCAGTGTTAGAATATGTGCCTATATACAGGGTGTTTCCGCAATATACACATCATTAAGTCGGGTTGCCTTTGCTCACTCGCTTTACTGGGCTCGCAGAATAATCAAATTGGAATAAGAAAAAAGAAATTTGTTTTTATCACTCTATTATAATGAATAATTGTGAAATTTAATATAAAATAAAATATTTATCGAATAAAATAATAATAAAATAAAATAAAGAAAATAATAATAGAAAAAATAACATAAATAAAATTTAATAAACAAATTTGGATAAATAATATAATAAAAAATACTTATAATAAAAAATATATTTGATTTTTAAATATAATAAATTATAAAAACTCGATATAATCACTATTTTCTTCTAAACATAAAGCAATCTTGCTGAAAATATCTCTCACTTGTTTTATCAGAAGAGTGATCACTGCCCATGGATCTTAAGTGGATCTATGGACTTTTTTATGTGGAATATCTTGAAGAATAAAATATATAACACCCTGTCGGAAAATGCAGAAATTCTTAAAAATAGAATTCATAACGCATGTGTGGAGATCATTTCTCTTATAATAAGTCGCGTGAAAGAAAATTTCATAAGCAGAATTGCTTTATATTTAGAAGAAGATGGTGGTTATATTGAACATTTATTATAATTTATTACATTTAAAGATCAAACATATTTGTCATTATATTATATTTGTTTATTATATTTTTTACTATATTTATTCAAATTTATATTAAATTTTTGTTATTAATATATGTTAATATATATTAATAATATTTATAATATTAATAATATTTATTAAATATTATAATTAAATCTTATAATGTTTTAGTAAACAAATTTGTCAGTTTATTAGAATTGAAATTTATAATAATTATTTTACGTATATTATTATTATCTATATTATTAAAAATATATTACATATAAATATATAATACATATTATTAAATATATATTTTATCTATATTATTAAATTTTGCAATTATTTATTATAATAAAATTATTTACTATAATAAAATAATAAAATTTCCCTTTCCTTAATCCCTGTTGAACTCGCATTCTAATCTTATTCAGCGAGTCTAATAAAGTATGCCCCTGACAATGGGCAAGCCGATTTAATGATGTTGCGGAAACACCCTGTACATTTTTTAAACAACCTTTTTCAAAAGAAAAATTTTTCTCTTTATGTATCATTGATATTATTGAAATATTTATTCAAAAAAAAAATTAACTTTAAACAAAAATTAAATTAGTCATTTAAATATTTTGAATCTTAAATCAATTTTCCATTCGGGATTTTTACACAATCGGTTCTGAGATACATACTATTTTATTCGGATTTTCAAAAATTACATTACTGATAATATATTGTTCTTGAAATGTGAAAATTCGAAATGTGAAATTTCTGATATCTTAATATATGACGATAATCTGAGTCTGAAACCACTGTCAGACTGAGCGGATGTGTCTTTACTCTTTCATATTAGGAATATTCCGAGTTTTCGTGCATAAATTGGTTGTTTATTCTTTTGTTTCTTTTAATTCGTGTCATTATTTACGAGTGCCACGTGTATATCATGTGCTGATCAGTTGTGTAACGCGTGTTTAATATATATTTTGAGATCCACGGACACAATGTCCTTGAATTATATAAATATACATATAAATCTTAAATTTACAATTTGAATCTGTAATTTAGTTTATGGAAATTTATTTCACTGAAACTTACTGATATATATATATATATATATATATATATATATATATATATATATATAGTTTCTGTTATTAATAAAAAGTTATTAATAAAAAATAAATTAATGCATTTTATTATACTTAACATACTTAGGATATCAAAATAATTATTTCAGTTTCAGTAAAGCAAATATTATTTCGTGGCAAATGATCCGAAAACCAAAGTATTGAGAACCTGAAGAAAACTGAGTTTAATTAGATGGATAATCACATCAAGGAATAATGTTTATTATTATATTACTAATATCCATTCTTATTTTATTGCTATATAATTATTACGTGCGTCATAGAAGAAAGGGACGACTCATTAATCTGATACCAGGACCACCGCGTTTTCTGATTGTTGGCAATTTATTTGAATATCTTGTTTCACGAGGCAAGTAAAAATTTTTAATATATTTGCTTTAATTGGTATACGATCTGTTATTTATATATACAAGCAAAAATTAAATTTGTACATTTTTTGAATTTCTTGAAATATATGCCGATCAACATTATTTAATGTTTTTAAAATAATTATTCAAGTTTAGCAGTATTTTTCTTCAATAATATTTATTTTGCGTAATTAATCATTTGTTTTTAATGTATTTGATATAAATGATACAGAGTAATATTCAAAAATAAAATGAATCTCTGATAAAATCAATCTCAAAAATTTTTATATTTATATTTATAATACATATTCTTATATATTTTTTTAGAGAAACAATGGAAGAGGTTGCATTCCATGCTTGACAAATATTATCCTATTACGAAAACCTGGACTTTCTTTTCACCTTCCATATCTATTCGTCATCCAGATGATTTAGAGGTAATAAATTACAAAATTCAATTTTTTTATTATTAAATTATGATTTAGCTAGATTTAGAAATCTTACGTTACATATAAAAATATATTCGCAACGTAGAAAAATTTTACTAAACTAATTTTATAAAACTTTATTAAAATTTATTAATAATTTATCTCTACCTAGAGCACAATATTATAAATATTTTAATTATTATCGTTGATGTAGGAACGTGTGAGGATTAAAGCCAATACCGTGATACAAGAGAACAAAGGAAAACTTACTATGAAATTGTTGCAAAATTTACTATATTTAGATAGATGTTTAAAGAAAACGCTACGTATATATGCCAGCGTATCTTATATATCACGATATACTGCGGAGGATGTAAAACTTCGTGAGTAATTAATTACTTTTTTGCTGCATGTATCTTCAAACGTTGTCGCGTGACATATTATGGAAAATATACAGAGTACTCCTGACTTAAATGATCAAACTTGAAATATAATATCAAAATTTAATTATTAAATGTTTTCTTCAAAATGATGATTTCCAAACCAGAGATAAACATTGTACCTATTGATGGGAAAATTAATAATATTCTGTATTTCTTCAAAGATTCAAGGAACCAGCAATTATTTAATATGAAATAGATTGAGTTTTTTCTTGTTTACAATCCAAATATAAATCTATCGATGATGATCTCCTAGTTTCAAAAATAAAAACATTATTTATTCCTATAATTCTCTAACTTTAGAAATCAATGTCTTCTGAACGAAGCGTTTGAGAGCATATTTCTTGAAGAAAATGTTTTTTGTTTGAGCTTTTAGAATTATATTTAGAATAATATTCAAGTTTAGTCATTTGATCCGACACCCTGTATACATATTTAATTTCTTTAACATTTTAAGATATATGTGTCATGTACATTTTATTTTTCAAGAAAATTTTTATATTTTCTTCAGAGTCGTATGTAATATCTGCTGGAACGAGTATACATCTTAATATCTTCGGAATTCATAGAGATCCTAATTTCTGGCCAAATCCGGAAGTGTTCAATCCGGATAGATTTTTGCCCGATAGGATCCAGGCTCGTCATCCTTATTCCTATCTACCGTTCAGCGTAGGGCCGCGGAATTGCATAGGTAAATTACTCGCGAGTTTTTTGTTTCTTCATTATATCGATAGTTTCCGATATATTTCTAATTGCAGGTCGACGATACGGTATGCTGGAGATGAAAGCTATAATGGCTCTGCTTGTACATAATTTTTATTCGAAGCCTGTTGATTGTTTAAAAGACATCCAGCTGAAAACCGACATAATACTTCGTCCTTTTCATCCAGTTCATATAAAATTCGTTCCAATCAAATGCTAATGATTGTTTAAAACGAACACGGATATCACAAAAAGGCAAAAAATTCATATCTTGCAAAAAAATGGAAGAAAATGTTATGTATTACGTATAAATATTATATAATATTATATTATACGTGAAAATATGCGTACAAAATATTATAAAAATTACGTATAAATATTATATAATATTATATTATACGTAAAAATATACATACAAAATGTTATGATAAATTGAGATCACAGATCCTTATATGTCCAAATTCTCAGTAAATTCATTTAATTATGTAAGGTATTCTATCGTTATTTATATTATTATTACAAATTTTGACAGCTTGTGTGACAGTGAGAAATGTATATGTATATAATAAAAAGGAATAAACGGCGCGCGCGAAGCGCGCGCTTTGCGTTATCTAGTATTAAAAATTACAAATATAATATAATAGTTAAAACAATTATTCAGTATATTTAATTACAAAAATTATATATAAAGCAGGATGTACGTTTAAGTAATGGCATATAAATCGGCCGAGTGACGGTGTATCAAAAAAATTATCAGCATACAGATAAAATTATCTTAAGCAGTTTTATAAACAATGTTACTTAAGGGTCAGTATAAGAGGATTCATCGCATTGCTAAAGTGCCAGAGTAGTTAATACGAGAGTTTATTTTCTTAGCAGTTAATAGGAATAGTTCATTGGAATAGTTAATAGGAAGTTTGTGGAAGTTTATTGGAAGTTTGTGAAGTAAATAGTAAGATGTCGCTTAAACACTTTTATTTATCCTCTTACTTATCCTTTAAATATTGTTTTAATAATTCATATTAATTTAATAAAATAATATTATCATCTTCTTTTTTTCTTTCTTACAAAGTTTGTCAAAGAACGAATTATATTATATATATATATATATATATATATATATATATATATACACACATATATCATGTATCTATATGTATATGTATAAACTACAAAGTAAACTACTATAAAGTAAAGTAAAATTATATTTTTCCTTTATTCAAACATAATTTATAAATACATTTAACGCAACCTACTTATAATTATTATTTAAATTATTAAAATTATTGCTTAGTTAATAGAAAATGAGCGAATTCTTTAATGAAAACAATTTATCTTGATAATAAGTGACTAAAAGTGTGGAATAAAAGTGTAGAAACTTTTATTTTCTAAATCTTTGGAGTGGCTCAGTGTTAGAATGTGTGACAATATACATGTGACAATATACATGTGACAATATACATTTTTTAAGCAACATTTTTTCTTCGAGAGAAAAATTTTTCTCTTTGTGTATCATTGACATTATCGAAATGACAATTTTGAAAAAAGATTTTAAATGAAAATTGAAATGACAATTTTAAAAAAAGATTTTAAACGAAAATTAAATTGATCATTTAAATATTTTGAATCTCAAATCAACTTTTCTTACAAAATGATTGCACAATCGTTTCTGAGATAGATACTATTTATTTGGAGTTTCACAATCGTTTCTGAGATAGATACTATTTATTTGGACTTTCAAATGACATTGCTGATAATGTATCGTTCTCAAAAGATGAAAGTTTATTCTGATTAATTAATTAACGTTCTTGAATTAAGAGATTAATTATAAATATTTATAGATCTTAAATTTATATTCTTAGTTTGTGGAAATTTATTTTACTAATAATAAACATTAATTTTAGCTAACTGTTTTACAAGATTTGCGATTTATATTTAAATATTAAATAAATTCATCACACACACACACACACACACACACACACACACACACACACACACACACACACACACACACACACACAGCTTTCTGTAGCTATTAATAAAAAATTAATTAATACATTGTATTTTATTTAACATATTTAAGATATCAAGGTATATATCTTAGTTTTAATAAAGCAAATATACATATATATATATACAGGGTATCCCATTTTAATCGATGACCCCGAATAACTTTTTTAATTTTGATTTTGATGTAGGAAAACATGTTTCAGACAAAAGTTGTATGACTTGAAGGGGGACATAAGATGGTGTCTTTAGTTTGACATTGAAGAGTCACCTGAAGGTCACATCCAACTTTTTAAATGGGACACCTTGTATGCTTTTGCATATTTTTTTAGTTCATCTCGAGAGCTTTCCAAAAAACTATAATTAAGTTAAGTGGTGTAAAGGAAAAACACAGTTGTTTTTAAGAAAAAATATGGAATTGTTAATTGCAAATTACATATTTTTTCTTCGAAATAATTATGTGTTTTCTTTACAGCAATTGATTCCTCTCATTATTTTGTACATAAAAGTATTAAGGTAGGATAATCGAAAAATGAATATTTTACTAGATATTTTATGGTTTATGTAAAATTAAGAAATGATTTCAAGCCTCATAACGTACTCAATGAAGAAATACTTTATTATAGTGTTTTGGAAAGCTCTTGAGATAAGCTACATGAATATATGTAATAAAAAATAGGGGGTTCTATTAAAAAAATTGAAGATAGTCTTCATGAGACCTTCAAACAACTTTTCACGATAAAACCAATGATATCATCTTATGTCCCTCTTCAAGCCATACAACTTTTGTCTGAAACATTTTTTCCTACAATCAAAATTAAAAAAGTTATTCGGGGTTATCGATTAAAATGGGACATCCTGTATATATATATATATATATATATATATATATATATATATTTACTTCGTGACCTACGATTTAAGAAACCAGAGGAATGGGATGCTGAAGAAAATTGAATTTCGACGATTAATTACATCAAGGAATAATGTTCATTATTTTACTGCTATTATCGATTCTTACTTTATTATTGTCGAATTATTACGTGCATCATACAAGAAATGGACGACTTTTTAATCTGATACCAGGACCACCGGGTTTTCTGATTATTGGCAATTTACTTGATATTCTTGTTTCACCAGGTAAGTAAAAATTTTTAATGTATTTTCTTTAATTGGTATATGATATGTTATATATATTTAAACAAAAATTAAATTCGTAAATTTTCTGCTTTGAAATATATGCCTATCAACAATATTGATTGTTTCTCAAATAATTATTCAAGTTCATTATTCAGTATTTTTCTTTGCAATAATATTCATTTTCTTAATTATCATTAATTTATTTTAATGTGTGTTTGATGTAATTTATTTTTATTTGATATATTGATACAATGATATTCAAAAATAATGAAAAAACCAATTTCGTTAAAAATTGTTGTGTTCACATTTATAATATATATATATATATATATATATTTTTTTTTTTTTTTTTTCAGAGGAATTATGGAAGTACCTTCATTCCACATTTGATAAGTATTATCCCATTACAGGAAGCTGGACTTTATTTTACTTTCTCATATCTATTCGTCATCCAGATGATCTAGAGGTAATAAAACACAAAAATTAAATTCCTTTTAGAAATTATAATTTAGCTAGATTTAGAAATCTTGCGTAACATATAAAAATATTTTCGCACGTAAAAAATGTTTTTTAAGAAAATAAAAAGAAAAATCGAAAATAATAATAATTTGAGATTGTTATTAGATTTATTAGATTACTTGTGTGTGAAAGATTAAAGTGTAATGATCCGAGATTAAATGATTATAAACTGATTTTGTCTATAATAAACTGATTAATATCTATTATCAGTTTTAATTTATTGTGATTTTAGACAATAATGAGTAGCACTAAACACATTGAGAAAAGTTCTATATATGAGGTATTACATCCTTGGTTTAGCACAGGTCTTCTCACCAGCACAGGTAATGTCATTACATTACACTAAGCGCATATATATTTTATTAGTACAGCCTGATATTATCTATTTTAATTATTCAGAGAATCAAATAAAATTTAATGATATAAAATAGAATAAATGAATAAATTTGAAATAATTAATATTACCTAAATATTTGATATCAAATTAAGAAACTTAAAACAAAAATATATTATTTATATTTGAATTATCACTTATATATCAATTAGATGTTATCTTGTTGTTTCTTTTAGGCACCAAATGGCAATCGCGGCGAAAGATATTAACACCTGCATTCCATTTCAATATACTGAATCAGTTTGTTGATATCTTGAGCAAGGAAAGCGCTCGTATGATAAAGTCTTTGAAGGAAGAAGAAGGAGCAATTGTGAAAGATTTAATACCATTTATTGGTGGACATACGCTGAATGTGATATGTGGTACAGTTTCTGTAAAGTTCTTATTGTTCTCTGTTTATAACTATGTATGAACGTTTTGTTTTAAATAATCATAACTTAGGAAAGAAAAACAATTTGTCGCTATGTAAAATATCAATGCTGAAGCAAAGATCGATTGTATATTTGATTTTTATACTACATTATAGTACTTTTCGGCTGTGATTTTGCCTTTACGTAACAAATTCATTTATAGAAACTGCCATGGGTATCTCCTTGCATGATCTCGGAGCATTTCAACAACAGTATCGAGAGGCAGTTTATCAAATGACTGAATTGGTTGTTTATAGGTAATTTACATAATCAGATATGATGAATACAGTGAATTATTATTATATATCTACAATCATTTAAGTTGTAACATATAGTTATATTCTGTAAGAGATAGATTAATTATTGAATAGTCACAAAAATAGACAAAAATAATTGAATAGTTATTTAATAGTTATTTAATTAGCAATTAGAAACATTAAAACATATTGCATGCACTCAATTAAATATTTTATTTTAAAGTAAAAATTATTTGCTTTTATAATATTAAGAATATTGAAAATATTAAAATAAATAATTGTGTTGTATTAAAATAAATAATATATTGTGCATTGAAGTCTGAAGATAAGTTATCTTTGATCAAGAAATTTATAATTATAAAAAAATATAATATCTTTAGAAAATTTTATATTTAGAAATTTTTAATATATAATTATATATCTTGCAATATTATATATAATTACTTAAAATTTATATCGTAATTTTACGGAGACTTTAAAAATGAGACTTTTAAGAAAATTATACTTGAGACTTTTGCAAAATTACATTATTATTGAAATTACATAATCTTATTTAATTACGATTTAGATTAGTGAGGCCTTGGCTGTATAATAATCTTTTATTCGCATTGTCTCCACAAGGAAGGAGACAAAAGAAGATCCTGAAGATATTACATGGATTTACGGAAAAAGTGCGTCACAAATCATTTTACTTAAAATTTTCTGTATTCTCTTCTTTTATGTGAACGTATATAATAGATTTTATAATCTTCATACAGCAAAATATTATACTGTTATATTATGAATATTAATAACATAAACATATGGTAATAGTATAATATATTATTTAATACAATTTATTAAAAAATTTAATATCATTGTCATTTATGCTATTCATCTAGATCATCGCAGAAAGGAAACTTTACCACGAACGCACTAATGATCGATATTTGAAAAATTTTGAAAAAGAGGAGACTGATGATGCAGAAGTATTCGGAAGTACGTAAGATAAAAGATTTTATTTTAAATTTCATCGCGTATTACAATGTTATAAATCGTACTTTTATTTATATTAAACACATATCATATATAATCACACGTAATAGTGCAATATATGTCTGCCGTAAAATTGTTCGTTATTTATAAGTTTGAATTTTAAACGAGAACGATGAAATTTAGTTAAAATGCAATATGCAGAAATGAAAATGACACTAATTCATGCTTTCTAGTCACCAAAAAACGACTAGCCATGTTGGACCTCTTAATAGCTGCATCTCGAGAAGGATCTTTGACTGATTTGGATATTAGAGAGGAAGTTGATACTTTTATGTTTGAAGTATGTTTTTGTAATTTTTCTTTTTCTAATTTTCACATAGATTATATATTTAAGCATATAATGTGACATGTAATTACAGGGTCACGATACTACAGCGATAGGAATAACGTTTGCTTTGTTATTATTAGCTGAACACAAAGATATCCAGGTACCGTTTTGTCAATATATATTATTTATATTGTTGATTTTTATTCAAATTAATAAATGTTTAACTTTTTTTATTTTGTTATGTCTATATATGTACATATAGATATTAAAAAAATTAAAATATTTTTAAAATAAATATAAAAAATTTATTAAAATATACTAATAATTTATTTCTACTTGGAGATCATAATATTATAAATATTCTAATTATTATCATTAACATAGGAACGTGTAAGGATTGAAGTAAATACCATGATGCAAGAGAACGAAGAAAAAATTACTATGAAATTGTTGCAAAATTTACCATATTTAGACAGATGTTTAAAAGAAGCGCTACGTTTATATCCTAGCGTACATTATATATCACGATATACTGCGGAAGATGTAAAACTACGTGAGTAATTAATTACTTTCTTGCTACATATTCGAATATTGTATATTATCACATTACATATTATCGAAAATATACTGAAATGATCAAATTCGAAATATAATATCAAAATTTAATTATTAAACGTTTTGTTTAAAATTATGGCTTTTAATCCGGAGATAAACATTGCACCTATCGATAAGAGAATGAGTGATATTTTGTAATTTTTTCAAACATTCAAGGAACTAATAATTATTTGAACATAGAATGGATGGCGGTTTTATTTACAGTCCAAGCCTATAGATAACCTTCAAAACCAAACCAAAAAAACATTATTATTGACAAGAAACATTATGTATTCCTACAATTCTGTAACTTTAGAAATCAAAGTCTCTTGAGTGAAGCGTTTGCATGCACATTTTCTGAAGAAATTTTTTTTGTTTCACGTCTTAGAATTATATTTCCAGTTTGATTATTTAACTCACCACCCTGTATACAAATTTAATTTTATCTTTAACATTTTATTTATCTTTAACATTGTAAAGATAAATGTGTTACGTACATTTTTATATTTTTCAAAAGAATTTTTATTTTTGTATAAATTATATTGAATTTTGTACATTTCCTTCAGAGTCATATGCAGTGCCTGCTGGAACGCGTATACATCTTAATATCTACGGAGTTCACAGAGATCCTAATTTCTGGCCAAATCCGGAAGTGTTCGATCCGGATAGATTTTTGCCCGACAGAATTCAGAATCGTCATCCTTATTCTTATCTACCGTTCAGCGCAGGGCCGCGGAATTGCATAGGTAAATTACTCGCGATTTTTGTTTCTTCACCATTTTTTCTTCATAATATACATAATATAACTGATAGTTTCTTCACAAATTTTTTTTCATATTGATATATTTATAATTGCAGGTCAACGATTCGCTATGTTGGAGATGAAAGCTATAATAGCTCCACTTGTACATAATTTCTATTTGGAGCCTGTCGATTACTTAAAAGACGTTCAAATGAAAGCCGACATAATACTTCGTCCTTCTTATCCGGTTCATATAAAATTCGTTCCAATTAGATGCTAATGATTGTTTAGAACGGGCACAGATGTCGCAAAAATGTAAAAAGTTGATAACTTGTAAGAAAAGGAAAAAAATATTATTACATATAAATATTATATTTATTATATCGTGAAAATATACAAGGTGTTGATTAAAACTTTCCACTTGTTTATTTCATGATTGATTATTTTTTTTTGCGAAAAATACCAAAAGACGTTTTATTTTGGAGAGAGACTGATTTAAGTACATTAAATGCAACGAAATTATTTTACTTCCTGCGTCAGGGTAGCTAACCCTTCAAAAATTTTTAATGGCAGTAGAGGTCAAGTGATATATTATTTTAAAGGTCTTTTGATTCCTTGTATAACTGTCTTTCTTTGTTTTTATTTAAGTGAATACATTTGTAGAAATCGTTCTTCGAAGTTTTAGTTGTTAAAAATGTTTTACATACAAAGATACATTTTGAAGTACAATTTATTTGTCATTTATTACAACAAATGTTCAAAATGATTTCCATTATTTTTTAAACAATAATATTAACGATTTTCAAATTCTGAACAAACAGAGTGATCGTAGCAGTAAACGAATAAACTAACGATTACTGGTTTTGCAATGAAATTTACTGGCTTTACAGTGAATTTTACTTTAACTGACTATAATCAGTGATATGAGTACGATAAATATTCGACAACTCCCGACGTTTGTGAATTCCTTGATTCCTCGTCCGGTAACGGTCTCATCTTACGGCGAGACAAATTCAAAATCGTTTATTTTAAATCGATAGCACAAGATAAATTTGGCAAATTATCACATATTTGTTAAAAATTATTAATTAAACATTATAATAAATATAAATAATTTATTAGAAATTATTCCTTTAATAGATACTTAATCATTTTCAATTGCATCAAAATTAAATTAGAGCCACAGCAATAGTTGCGTAGAAGTGTAAGGAAGAAACAACATTTCCTTCTTTCTGATTAAACTTATATTTTAAATTAAATATAATTACATTAACACAAAAATGAATGTCTCGGATCATCTTTGGATCACTCTTCAGCGCGACGCGTTCATTTTTATTTTAATTATGTATAACATGAAATATTATGTATAATTACATTATATTGTATATTTTTTATCTGGTATAACGTATGTTGTATGGATTGCTTGTAATTATTTTAATATATTTTGCCAACATAATTTACTTTTAAAGCCTAATAATATTCTAAATTTCTTAAATCCTTTTTAATTTGTGCTTATTTAATGTATTCGAGGTGTAGTATTTGTTAATAAAATAAACAATAAAGCAATTTTATTATAAAATATACATTTTTATTATCGTTATATACATCTTAATAATACATTATAAATTGTAAATTACAAATTATACATTATACATTATAAAATATACATATTAATTATATATTTTTATTACTGTCTTTGTTACTGGTTTAATCCTTGGCTTAATTGCGTGTATTGATACAATATCATATTTATCGGTACAAGTATTTAAATTACTTTGATAAACGGATCCTTTCATTACATTCAATTGATTTGTAAATATATTTTCCATATACTTTTGTTGTCCAGGTGACATCTCGTTTATAAAAGGAAGGCCGCAAAAAATGTAGGCTGGAAGAAATAATAATTATTATAAATAAAAGTATTTCTCTCTCTTTTTCGGTATTATAAAAATAAATAGTAAATAGAATTATTAAAAATAAATAGAATTATTGAAATGAGTCGTCTCATCATAAAATAGAATTTGTTAGAAAAAATTTAATTTTTTTAAGTAAGATGTTAATATTTGTTCGATATATTGAAAGTAAGAATACTTACGTAAAAGATAATTGGATTCATATTCGACACTGTCAAGATCGCAGTACTTTATAAAAAAATCGGCATTTAGTAGTAATTGACATACATCTGTATCAGCACCACATGCATGTTGAAACGGCGAAGTGTATTTCTTCATATGTCATGTAAAAACAAGATAAAATTAAAAATATGTAAAAAAACGTATATGATTAGAAAATAATATCTAAAATATTAACATATCTATACCTCGAAATATGATCCATAAAATGGATAATCTTTCATACAGTCATATATTTTAAATGCATCGTGAGATACAATCATACTTAAATGGAATATCCCTCCAGGTTTCAACATCTTATAAACATTCTGAAACTCTTGCCTGTTAATAAAGAAAATAATATATTTAATCGATAATTATAAAAGTTGAACATATTAAGATATTTTTGAACTACAAATTTTATTTTGTTAATTTGATTCTATTTTAAATAGTATCAAAATTAATTAACAATAAAAAATTTTCTGTGTTGCTAGGATGTTGGATTATAATTTGAATCATAATATTTTAATGACAAAATGTTGATTAAAGAAAATAAGAAATTTATACTTACAGAATATCATTACGAGAATGCACGGTGGGAAATGAAAATATATGATCAAATTCGGCGATATATTTTTCCGGCAAAACACCTTTCGTTTGAATATCAAGAACTTCAAAATCGATTCGGTCAGTATTATCATAATTTTTCCTAGCATATTCGATCATGCTTTCTGAACTATCAGTACCTATCAATAAGCAATAATTAAGAATTAGAGTATAATTTTATCTTAATTATATATTCTTATATAATCGATTATATTCTTACCTATTATTGTCGATTTTCGATGAAGCATTTTATGTATCTTTGGCAAAAGAAAATGTCTCGTTGTATATCCGAAAGAACAATTGATTTCCATGCATTTTCCAGGTGGCACTAACCCTTCATATTTTAGATCCCATGCGTCTGTATAGAGACTAACATTTTTTTCTTTTAAAGTTTCCTCTGGATTGACCTTCATTATTTTTATGGAATCAAAGCCGTACAAAATTGATGACACTAAAATGATATTACTTTTTTATAATTCGTTCATTAAACTAAAAATATTACGTTGTTCAACTAATTAAAAATATTTATGTATTATAATATTTTGAAAATTCCACAATACACTTACACAACGCACACACGAAATCTGTACAGAACGTACAATATAGTCCGACTGTTGCATACAGAATGAGACCCAAAATTTTGCATGGCTTCTCGGGCACGCAGTCAAGTTTGGGGGTATAACGAAGTGGGGAACAGCTATTGTGTCTACTTAGTGCAGGTAAGATATTTGTATTTTGTCTCAGTGATCAGTTGAATTAAGCCTTCTGGTTGGTCAATCTTTTATTGGTCCAATCGCACCGTGGCTAGAAAGTCATTTCATTTTAGGGCGGTAAACTTTCTCTTTTTTTCGACATTTTAGGGCGGTAGACTTTCTCTTTTTTTTATTGTATATCTATTTTGGCTGTTTTCCGACATTCCTCGCCAATAAAATCTATAGTTCTGAAAATCTATAGTTTAAGTCACGCATACTATATCTATACTATGTACTTCTTGTATATCTATATATACTTCGTCTTCATAGATTGGCGAATAAGAATAGGAACTTTAACGGCGATTTAAAAAAAAAAATGTTATTATTTTCTTAAGCCTAACAAAATTGATGAATGATAGATGTTACATTTATACACAAGCCGAAATTTTCGAAAAATATATATATTAATCCGATCTGAATTGTATCTTTTATGCAAACGATAATATTACGAAACCATCTTTCCCTCAATTTTTCTTCTTTCCATATCTTTTAAATTAAGACAGCAATATCGCATACGATTTTTGACGAGCGATTACAATTGTCGTAACAAGTTATAAGCCGACATGTTTCCGAAATTCTTCAATACAATTTTGCAAAATTGAGTTTAATTTTTTTTTAATTTTCTTGCATCTCTATTTATGATTTTAAAAATAATCTCTCAAGAGAGCTTTCGTCGATGATGAACAAAAATTTTCAGACATTTATAATATACAGTAAGTAGACTGAAATTCTGTTCATATGAAATAATTTATGACTTACGGATGGAAAAAGATTTTTCTTTTATTTTCTTTTATTTTCTTCTATTGTGTCTATTCCATACATATATTGACAAATGGTGATAGAAAGTAGCAAAGAAAAAAATTTTTATTTTCCTCTGAGTTGACTAAAGAAAAATTGGATATTATAATTAAAACACGACGACGAGCAATTGCCATTGTCATAACGATGTAGCATGCCCCTGTAGGAATGTTTCTAAATTTCTATACTAAAATTTTGAGAAATTTATTTTATTTTTCTTACATTTTCTTTCATATTTGTGATTTTAATAATAATCTTCTAGGAGAGGTTTTATCGACATATGCAGAAAATGAGAAATTTATAGGCATTTATGATTTATAGTAGGTAAATTGAAATCATGTTTATTTAGGATACTTTACGAACGACGGGGAGGCGGTGGGCTTAACAAGCTTTCTTTCATTTTCGACTATTGTATTCGTCGTATAAATACATAAACTTACAACTGACAGTAGCGAAAGAAACAATTGTTATAAATGTCCTGACTGATAAAATTGTAGAAAACTGGATATTACAATTAGAACACACAAATTGAAATTTTGAAGAAATATATACGAAATATGGATCCTATCGACATTCTTTTAATGGTTTGTATAGTCCATGCGAGCGTTAAAGCTATGTGACTATCTTGCCGCTTTTTCGCTTCTTCTTCTTCTCTCTTTTAAATTAAGAGAGCAATATCGTATATGATTTTTGGTCGAGTGATTACTATCTTCACAATGAGTCATATGTCTAAGAACGTACATAATATCGCAATATCGAAAAATTATTTACAAAATTATAACAATAATTAACTTTTATAATAAATAATGCTATTAAAATTCTCGAACTGCATATTTTGCGTAATTTATGCATTTAATCAACTAAGAATCGTAGTAACTGAAATTTAAAATAAATTATTATTTCGACATGAAATCGATTTTTCGAACAGATATTGTTTCTTTAATGATATTTATAGAGTCAAATATAATTCGTCCGCGACGCTTTATTTTTCGATCACTTAAATAAAATTTCAGGGTCGGATTTAGTGGGGCGGAAGCAACAGAAGCTGAAGATGTCAGCTCATAACTTGTTACGACAATTGTAATCGTTCGTCAAAAATCGTATGCGATATTGCTGTCTTAATTTAAAAGATATGGAAAGAAGAAAAATTGAGGAAGAGATGGTTTCGTAATATTATCGTTTGCATAAAAGATACAATTCAGATCGGATTAATATATATATTTTTCGAAAATTTCGGCTTGTGTATAAATGTAACATCTATCATTCATCAATTTTGTTAGGCTTAAGAAAATAATAACATTTTTTTTTTTAAATCGCCAGTTCCTATTCCTATTCGCCAATCTATGAAGACGAAGTATATATAGATATACAAGAAGTACATATAGATATAGTATGCGTGACTTAAACTATAGATTTTCAGAACTATAGATTTTATTGGCGAGGAATGTCGGAAAACAGCCAAAATAAATATACAACAAAAAAAAGAGAAAGTGTACCGCCCTAAAATGAAATGACTTTCTAGCCACGGTGCGATTGGACCAATAAGAGATTGACCAACCAGAAGGCCTAGTTCAACTGACCATTGAGACAAAACACAAATATTTTACCTGCACTAAGTAGACACAATAGCTGTTCCCCACTTCGTTATACCCCCAAACTTGACTGCGTGCCCGAAAAGCCATGCAAAATTTTGGGTCTCATTCTGTATGCAACAGTCGGACTATATTGTACGTTCTGTACAGATTTCGTGTGTGCGTTGTGTAAGTGTATTGTGGAATTTTCAAAATATTATAATACATAAATATTTTTAATTAGTTGAACAACGTAATATTTTTAGTTTAATGAACGAATTATAAAAAAGTAATATCATTTTAGTGTCATCAATTTTGTACGGCTTTGATTCCATAAAAATAATGAAGGTCAATCCAGAGGAAACTTTAAAAGAAAAAAATGTTAGTCTCTATACAGACGCATGGGATCTAAAATATGAAGGGTTAGTGCCACCTGGAAAATGCATGGAAATCAATTGTTCTTTCGGATATACAACGAGACATTTTCTTTTGCCAAAGCTTCATCGAAAATCGACAATAATAGGTAAGAATATAATCGATTATATAAGAATATATAATTAAGATAAAATTATATTCTAATTCTTAATTATTGCTTATTGATAGGTACTGATAGTTCAGAAAGCATGATCGAATATGCTAGGAAAAATTATGATAATACTGACCGAATCGATTTTGAAGTTCTTGATATTCAAACGAAAGGTGTTTTGCCGGAAAAATATATCGCCGAATTTGATCATATATTTTCATTTCCCACCGTGCATTCTCGTAATGATATTCTGTAAGTATAAATTTCTTATTTTCTTTAATCAACATTTTGTCATTAAAATATTATGATTCAAATTATAATCCAACATCCTAGCAACACAGAAAATTTTTTATTGTTAATTAATTTTGATACTATTTAAAATAGAATCAAATTAACAAAATAAAATTTATAGTTCAAAAATATCTTAATATGTCCAACTTTTATAATTATCGATTAAATATATTATTTTCTTTATTAACAGGCAAGAGTTTCAGAATGTTTATAAGATGTTGAAACCTGGAGGGATATTCCATTTAAGTATGATTGTATCTCACGATGCATTTAAAATATATGACTATATGAAAGATTATCCATTTTATGGATCATATTTCGAGGTATAGATATGTTAATATTTTAGATATTATTTTCTAATCATATACATTTTTTTACATATTTTTAACTTTATCTTGTTTTTACATGATATATGAAGAAATACACTTCGCCGTTTCAACATGCATGTGGTGCTGATACAGATGTATGTCAATTACTACTAAATGCCGATTTTTTTATAAAGTACTGCGATCTTGACAGTGTCGAATATGAATCCAATTATCTTTTACGTAAGTATTCTTACTTTCAATATATCGAACAAATATTAACATCTTACTTTAAAAAATTAAATTCTTTCTAACGAATTCTATTTTATGATGAGACGACTCATTTCAATAATTCTATTTACTATTTATTTTTATAATACGGAAAGAGAGAGAGAAATAATTTTATTTATAATAATTATTATTTCTTCCAGCCTACATTTTTTGCGGCCTTCCTTTTATAAACGAGATGTCACCTGGACAACAAAAGTATATGGAAAATATATTTACAAATCAATTGAATGTAATGAAAGGATCCGTTTATCAAAGTAATTTAAATACTTGTACCGATAAATATGATATTGTATCAATACACGCAATTAAGCCAAGGATTAAACCAGTAACAAAGACAGTAATAAAAATATATAATTAATATGTATATTTTATAATGTATAATGTATAATTTGTAATTTACAATTTATAATGTATTATTAAGATGTATAACGATAATAAAAATGTATATTTTATAATAAAATTGCTTTATTGTTTATTTTATTAACAAATACTACATCTCGAATACATTAAATAAGCACAAATTAAAAAGGATTTAAGAAATTTAGAATATTATTAGGCTTTAAAAGTAAATTATGTTAGCAAAATATATTAAAATAATTAGAAGCAATTCATAACATACGTTATACTAGTTGCCTAAAAATATACAATATAATTAAACTATAATAAATTAACAGAGTAATTTTGATATCTGAAATATTTAAATATCTGAAAAGTCTATATGTATCAATTAATTGGAAATAATTTTCTAAAATAAGATAAAGAACATTATTAAAAATTGAAAAAATTTGGCTATAATAAGGATAACGTAAAATTAGATTAAAATTGGAAAATTAGAGCCATAGCACGATAGTTGGAGCGCAAGGAAGAAACAATACTTTCTTCTTTCTATGACTTTCTGTGTATATTTTTTTTTTTCGTATATTTCAAATTAAATATAATTATATTAAAAAAACGAAGGCGTAGCGCTAAAGAGAGATCGAAAGATGATCCGAAAGGTTCGTTTTTGTTAATGAAATTATATTTAATTTGAAATTTATAATTAATATTTATAGAAAGGAAG